GGCCACATACCTGGGAGGTGGGGCTGGTGGACCGGCCCACTTACAGACCAGAGGTGAGGAGGAAGGTGAGCTGAGTGGTCCGGACGCCTCGGATGCCCAGCTGGAGGCCGTCTGGCCAGCCTGCTTCTTGACTCCTCCGAGCGTACCCCTCAATGTCAGGGTCTAAAGACCTGTGACTCTCTCTGGTTCTGCCATGTTATCCCGGGATTTGAGCTTGTCGTTTCCCTCCCCAAGCCTCAGATTCTGCTGCACAAAGGAGAGAACCATCACCTTGCTCAAGAGCAGGCCCGAGGGGGCGGTGTGCGAGAGGTGGTGGAGCACTTGGCAAAGGCCAACGGGAAGGGGTGGTGCTGTCCTGTCTCTGCATCCCTGGGGTGCAGGGCCCAAGCCTCCCACTTCTCCAAGGTCTCTCGAGCCCCCAGATAGTACTCAGCCAATATTTGTTGGGTAAACGAATGGATTTCTGAGACTTTACAACAGAGGTTTCTTGGACAAACACCAGGCTTCAAAAAGTATATATTTTTGTTTGATTTCAGCTCCAGGTACCGAACCATACCCCGCTTATCTCTGTTCCTGCCACGGCACATTGCTTATCAGGAGCTGCACACCTTGGGAGATGGGAGAGACGCGGCTGAGAAGGTTAACGCGTCCGTCCACCTCGAGAATCACAGCCGTTCAGGGGCTGCGGCCCGTGCGCTCCCTCCTGCCGATCCGAGATGCCGCAGCCCGGGATGCGGACTCTCAGTGTCCCCGCAGAGGGGCCCAGCATTCACACTATCTGGGGCCAGCGGCTGGAAAGGAGAGGAGGGCAGCCCAGCGGGTCCACGTAGTGTGGGCGGGACAGAGAGTTGCAGCGGTGGGGGCGGAGGTCGGACCTCCTCCGTGGGGCCGAGCAGCCCTGCTTCGTGAAAGCCAGCAACAACTTCCTAGTTCTTTTCTCCTGTACTTACTTATTCATTCTCCCAGAACTTTCTTGTACAGTAAGAGAACAGCGAGGCAGAGTACAAGAAAGTAGAGCTCAGTTCATCTGATGATCTGCCCACACCCGCTGACTCACTCATAATGGCCCCTCAGATGTCAGTTTCTTGCTAAGACATTTGGAAAAATTTCTGCTTCTGAATCACAAGCAAACACTATAATTCAACAATCTTCTCTGAGTTATTCAAGGAACTTCAATGCACTCAGAAGTGGAAGGATCAGGGGCTGATGAAATCAATGAAATCTCTGAGTACTCTGTTTTTCTCCTAATTATATTTCATTTGCCCCACAGAGGTGGGGGGAGCTCCATCTGACCACTGAGGGGCATCTCCTGGGGGAAGTCTGGAAGCAGCCGATTTGGGGTTTCTGGGTGACACTTGGTTTTTCTTATCGTCTTCGTTCTGTTCCCATAATAGAGCCAAGTGTCATGCAGGAAAAGGCTCGCTACCACCGAGTTTTCTCGTGGATGGACGGCCATGGCCCTCCAGGGGAGAGAGGGTGTTTCAGCGAAGGGCAGGCCTGGTCGTCCTTCTTCCTCATCCTGGTGTCCTTGTCGTGCGGCATCACGCCCGCTCAGGGAAGCTCTCACTCCTGCCCTCTGCCTTTTTGGGCAATGCTCACTAAAGCTCTGCCCTGAGCCCTCACTTCCAACCTGCCTTCACCACGGCCCTTCCTTGTGGGGAGAAAAGGAGTTTATCACTCATCACGGACGGCCACCTCTAATCCCTTGCTGCAGTTCAGGGCTGGGGGTCACCTTCAGCCTGGCTGGAGAACAGACCCTGGGGAACGGTCTCTCAAGGGACAGTTTACCTGCGTCCCAGGAAGGGACCATGTCTTGTGGTCTGGGAAAGGCATGTACCTTCACCACTCCCCTGGCTTGTGCTAAGTTGGTGGTCAGAGGAAAGCTCCTTCCTCAGGGGAGCAGGTCCCTTGGTAAATGCGGACAACAGAGCAGAGACGGTGTGGACCCACTACTTGCCCCTCTGCTCTGTCCACACAGTTCTGATCCTGGAGCACAGCCCTCTGGGCCCTGACACGCAGTGGGCATTCGGTTCCTAGGTATCAAATGAATGGCGCTGTCCACACATCTGCTTCCATCCCGCGAAGCCCACGTGAAAAACACCACCTGCGAGGAGGTGTTGGGGGTTAACCCCCAGTGTGCCTTGTCTTCCCCACAAACCTGGGACCCAGGACCATCATCCCCTTCTACAGCTGGGAAAATTCAAGTTTCAGGAGGAGGTGGGCCTCCCAGAGCGGCTGGGGCCGCCAAGCCTCCCTGCCCTGATCTGCCCCGCCCCTCACAGTGGCCAAAGCTCAGCACAGCGGGCCAGACTGAGTCAACACTGCCGGCAGAGCAGGGAATCAAAGCAAACAGGGTTCCTCTCCTCTCCTCCCCCCTGATCCCCCCATTCCTTTTTTTTTTTTTTTTTTTTTGCCAACTGCCCCATTAACAGAAAAACCTTTTAAGCACCCATCCGGAAATCTGGGCTTTTCCCTCCCTGAGCAAACTGAGATGACCAAGAGGAATGTGCTCCAGGGTGGAGGTTTGGCGGGGGGGACCCCAGCACACTGGATCCTGCTCATACAGCAAAGAATGAACACAGGAAGATCAAAAATGCCCCTCGGGCCCGGCCCAGTGGTCCCCGCGGCGGCCAACACGGGCCCCTTTCAGCAGCCCTGCCAGCCAACAGCTTCCCGTAATAGCTCGTGCGGTCGCTGCATCTACAACCCATCCCTGACATCCAGCTTTCCTGGAACAGTCTCTACTTTCAGCCTAGACCACCTCTTAGGGGCCAGAGAAGAAAGTCCTCAGGCCCCATGCCCCTACCTCGCCCATCAGGACATACTTGTGAATAAATACATTCTTGGCTTGAGGAAAACTTGCCATTCTGAGCGAGCAGCCCAGCTGTTGGTGCGTACTCCACAAACATTTGCTGAGGCCCTCTTCCGTATCAGGCACTTTGGGGATACAAAGGTGAAATGACATGGGCAGCTCCCAGGCTGGTGGGGAGATACGGCATGAGGATAAGTGAGGAGCAAACACAGCCGCAGGTGCGGGCCGTAAGCCCGTGTTCTGGCGCCGGCCGGGAGCTCCCAGCCAGGACGCTGCGGCGGAGACCCTGGGCTCAGGGGGCGCAGCAGAGGGGCTGCCCTGGAATTCTGCGGTCTGATGAGCAGGGGGAGGCTGGGGAGGGCAGGTGAGGGACCAGAGAGAAGAGCAAAGGGGTGAAGGTAGGCGCAGGGTGTGTGTGTGGGGGTGAATGTCATGGAAGCTGAAAGGTTTATTCTGTGTATATATTTTTTTAACTTGTGCAGAAAATACTGCTAAGTACATGCACATTTCTTCCTCTGGAATTTACACTTTCTTCTCTTTACCGTGGCGGGTGGCAGGCTTTGGACCAGAAGCAGCTGCAATCATGTGGTCATTCAGATTGGAGTAGGAAAACATTCCAAACTCAGAGATGTTGCAAGAGTATTAATCTTGTACTCGTTTACAAAGATTCACCAATTGTTAACATCTTGCCACATGTGCTTAACCCGTCTCTCTCGACATTTATCACATTGTTACTGTTCTTGCCCAACTGTTTGGGGGCAAGCTGCGGGCAAGGTGACTCTTGACCCTGAATATTTCATACTATCTCCTGAAAACAAGAATTTCCATTTGCCTAACCCGGCCATGATCAAATTCAGGAAATACAACGTGGATACAATGTGATTGTTCAATCCACACGGTCTGTATTCAAATTTTGTAGGTGTCCCAGTAGTGCCCCTTTCAGTACCTTCTGCCCTGGTCGGGTCCCTGACCCGGGGTCGCGCGGAGCTCTCGCTCGGCATGTGGCCCGTGAGGTCACTGGACAGTGGAAGACAGGGGCAGCCCTGGGCTGGCACCCACGGGACAAAGTCCTGCTTCCCCACGTCAGTGTTCTGCAGGGAACACTCCAGCTCCTTTTACTTCGGGGCTGAACTCCTTTGGGAGAAGTAGAGGCTATTTTCCAGCAAAAAGGCCACTACAGAAGTTAGTGACTTGCCGGTCTGGATCCCTGACCTCCCGTCTCGGGCCTCGCCAGGCCTGTGGAAAGTGCAGAGGGTTTAGAAGCGGCCTGCCCGTCAGGGTGACGATAGGCAGGGCAGACCTCTCAGCCGCGGTCACCTGTCCGGTCAGAGGCAGGGGAGGGAGTGCCCGGGGACTCTGGGTCTGTGTGCCTTCAGTCCTGCCTTTGAGTCCACGTCCTGCGGGCCCGTGTCTGCGTGGGTCTCCTTCATTTCCACATCCCTGGCTGCCAACGTGTGCCCAGCCCACGGCAGGTCTCTGTCTGTAGCTGTTCCGACAACGGGGGCCCCGGGAGCTTGGCAAATACTGGAGAGAGGCCTGGAGAAGCAGGTGCCCACCGGGGGTGGCTGCCCACTCCTCGGGGCTCCGGGGGGAGGTCCTGGCCTGGGCAGCCGCTCTGCAGTTTCTGGAAGAACAGGAATTGACACGCAGAGCAGGAGGAGAGCCACGCTGACCGAAGCACAGGCTTTCTGAGGACCAAAGTCCGGGGAAGGGGCTGGAGGGGAAGTGTGGGGCCACGCTGGGAAGGGCCTTGATGGCGAGCCACGGAGTTGAGATCGTGTCTCTCGATAGCGCTTTCCCAAATGCCGAAGAATCACAAATTGCCTTTACAACTTCGCCAAGTTCAAAGGAAACTTTCATTATCATTTTACTACTGTAAATGCTAATTATTTTTTTTTCCTATTTACATTAAAGTAGACACTGTAAAAATAAAAACTGTCCACCCTTGTTCCCCCAAAGGACACGTCAGCACTGTCAGTGGCTGTCGGAGCGCTCCTTAGGAAACGTAGCTGAAGACACGGGACGCATGGCCAGGTCTAAAGCAAGGTAGGGACGTCTCACTGGCTGTGTGACTATGGTGAAGTCACTTCACGCGCTGGGATATCGTGGCCTCATCTGCCAAGCGATGGGTTTAGACAAAGGATTCCTAATAACACAACTGGCTTGGTCAGGGAGAGCTCTCTGGAGGTGGTGCCCTCACCCCATGAGCTGGGAGCTGTGGTTTGGATGTCATATCATGAGCCCCATCACCCGGGTGTCCAGAGTCCGCCACGGTCAGGCCCACACCTGGTGCGAGACCTCCAGGCACTGTGCACAAAGGCAGGCTTTGGTCTCGAACTCTAGGAAGTGACTGGGCAATATTCTGTTTTGGGAGAGGAAGAAACACCCCCTTCGCCAGGATGACAGGCAAAGAGCAGAAGAGAGTAGAGGCTGGGCCTCTGGGCGGTGGACACACCCTGGGACCAGCTTGGTCATCTGGTCCCATCACTGCAGTGACCAGTCGTGTTGGGCCCCCACCAGTGAAGAAGGGCGGCTTTCCCAGAGACTGAGGATTCCTTGAAGACCTTACACTTGGACGCAAAGCAAGGATGCGTGAAATCGTGCATCTTCAGATCGGCCAGTGTGGGAACCAGATCGGAGCCAAGGTAAGGAAAGTTCAATTACTAGGACTAGCTTTCCTACGGTCGCTGGGTGTAGCCAACTAAGAAAATATCCTCAGTTGGCAGGGAAGGCAAGTCCAGCAGATCGCATGTGCTTGCTGAATACTTGGCTTCATTAACCGATGCCCATAGTGAAAGAGACACAGGAGGTAGGACAGGATGAAAGGGTTAACTGAATTCATGTTAATTTCACCACCTCTTACAGGGAAGCTTGTTTACTTTCATGACTTTAGCAATGAACTTTCATATCTAAAGACAGTCATTTGTCTCAAAACAGTTTCCTAAAGTTTGTTGGCAACTTTTTACACGATATCACTAAGATGCCTTTCCATCCCCTCCCTTGTTTATGCTGCAAAGTTTAAAAAGATCCACATCTGTTCCATTTAGTAAGCAATAGGAGATGAAGGAGGTAAACCTAGACGTTTTTGGGTGTAGTAGCAGAAATAATTAAAATACACTCTCTGGAGTATACATGAGTGTGTCCCCTCCCCACCTAAATTTTTTGTACACAATGCCTGGTTCAGTGGCCAACTCTAAGAGATGACACAGTCCAACAGGTCCCCAACCCGAATTTCAACCCTAGTTTTACACACTTGTACTAACAGCCATGTGATTGTTCCCTTTGCCATTTTGAAATTACTTTCACTAGTATGAATGGCATTAAAAATTTAATTGCATTGGGGCGCCTGGGTGGCTCGGTCGGTTAGCATCCGACTCTTGGTTTTGGCTCAGGTCATGATCTCACGGGTCATGGGATGGAGCCTCATGTGGGCTCCGCACTCAGCAGGGAATCTCTCTCTAAAATAAGTAAATACAAATAAATAAATAAAGCTTTAAAAATTTTTAATTGCATTAAAAGTTAAATTTTAAAAAATTGTGGTAAAACAGTGTAAAATTTACCATCTCCAGCCATCAGTTTTAAGTGTGCAGTTCAATACTGTTAAGTATATTCATAGTGTTGTACATCCAATCTCCCAAGATGCTTTTCCTTTTGCAAAGCTAAAAACTCTGTCCCCATTAAATACTAACTCCACATTTCCCCTCCCCCAGACCCTGGCACCCACCCTTCTACTATCTAAGAATTTGAACTCTTTAAAAAAAAAAAAATTGTATTTATTTATTTATTTAGAGAGTGTGAGTGGGAGGTGGGGGGGTGGAGAGGGAGAGGGAGAGAGAATCTCCAGCAGGCTCCGTGCCCAGCACAGAGCCCAATGCGGGGCTTGATCCCACGACCCCAAGATCAGGACCTGAGCTGAAATCAAGAGTCAAATGCTCAACCAACTCAGCCACCCAGGGACACCCAAATTTGAACTCTTCTAGGGACCTCATAGAAGTGACATCACACAGTATCTGCCCTTCTGTGTCTGGCTTATGTCAGTGAGCATTATGTCCTCAAGGCTCACCCACGTTGCAGCCTATGTCCAAATCTCCTTCCTTTTTACAGCTGAAAAACAGTCCATTGCATGGACACCCCACACTTTGTTTATCCACTCATCTGTCAGTGGACACATAGGTGGTTTCCAACTGTTAGCTATTGTGAAGAGCAAAGCTATGAAAAACTAGTCTTTTAATGCAGGTGTTTAAAACCTGGGGCAAAGAATATCACTCCTTGAAAAGAAGTTGCCGCTTTTCCGTCCAAGGTGATGAGATGTTCCTAAGTCGAACACACACAGAAGTGGGAGGCACCAGCCCCAGCACTCCGAAGTGGGAAGATAATCTGGAGGGAAGTGCGGCACAGGAAGTGCAGGGTCCAGATAGGTTCTTAGCTCTTCCGCCAGCATCGTGTTGTCTGGTGCTTAGAGCCCCGGCGACTACTTATTATTTGGGGCCAAAAGAACTGTAAGAGACGTTTAGTTTGTGGTGTTATAGAACTTAAATTTATTAACTCTTTCAGACCCTGAACAGTGCTGGTAATTTACTATAAAATAGAGTCTGGTTAATGAGACCATGGCCAGAGCAGAGCCATCACTTATAAGATATGGCTGGGAAAACACCCTTGGGGATTTTAACATAAATAAATATATTTTCATTGCACTTGAATATGTCCTTCTCTAGGGCGGTGAAAGGGGCCATCTCAGTAACTGTTTCCATATTAAGACACACAGCTGTATTAATAAATACTGTATGTGTGATTGGAAGTGTCATATGTTTCAAATAGTTACAAGAGCTGTGCATAATCTTGAATTGTGTGCATACCTGATCATGAAAAATGCACATGGCTAAAAGCTGGGCCTGGATGTCCTAGTTATGGGCTTTTTGGAAAACTGCATGAAAATAAATACCCAAGCGAAGGAGATATTATTGTGAAATCAGATAAGAATTCAGTCTATTTTCATTTAATGGTATCTGTACTTTACTAGCTTGAAGCACCTAGAAGGTGAAATTAGAAATACCCGGTCTGATGTGAATTGTAAAACGACAGCCTTAATGTATACCGTGGCCTCCATTTAATAGGAGCAAAATCCAATTTAATATTTTATGCGTTGGCATTTTATTTAAGTCGTTCAGGTGGGTACAAAACACCGTCTTCATATTCATGTTTAGTGGAGGCAAGAGCAAATTACACCGTGGAGCTGGCACTGACGAGATGGGCCTAAAGGCACGTCTGGGAAAGGGGCGGCCAGACGGACCCCTCCGGGCAGGCCCAGCAGCACTCCCTTCCTCCTGTCCCTCTGGCCAATCTGCTGGCTCATGGGTACCCACCTGCCCTTTTCTGGGGTCCCTCTGTACACTGACCTCCCCTCCTGCTGCTTTCAGTTCTGGGAGGTGATTGGCGAGGAGCATGGGATCGACTCGGCCGGGGGCTACTGCGGGGACTGTGCCTTGCAGCTGGAGAGGATCAGCGTGTACTACAACGAGGCCCACGGTAGGACGCTGTACTCTGGTCGCGATGCTCACCTGCCCCGGGAACACGGGCAGGGTGATGTCCAGGCAGCGCAGTGGGATCCCGAGACTGGCGGGTCCCCAAGTCCCGTCTAGGGCAAGGGCCTGGGGAAAAAGGCACTGAGTGGGGGCACGTGTGTTTACCGCCCCCCCCCCCCCCCCGCTCAAGCACCACCTTTCCTGTTTAGTTTTTTTTTTTTTTAAGTGTAACTCTTTTTCTTTTTTTTTAAGACTTTATTTATTTGAGAGAGAGAGAGAGAGAGAGCAGGAACACAAGCAGGGGGAGTGGGAGAGGGAGAAGCAGGCTTCCTGCTGAGCAGGGAGCCCGATGTGGGACTCGATCCCAGGACCCTGGGATCATGACCTGAGCCGAAGGCAGACGCTTAACGACTGAGCCACCCAGGCGCCCTCCTGTTTAGTTCTTAAATGAAAACCAGAATCGCTTCCAGTAGGGGCAGGATCTCTGTCATTGACGAGACAACAAAACAACACAGAAAATGATGGAAAAAGGATTTCGAAGGTATTTTATAGATGTATGCACTTGTTGGGGTCAAGAATATTACTTCAAATGTCTTTCTTCTAGAAATACCTTTTTCCTGACGGGTATCACAAGGTTCTATTTTGATGAAACATTAACTTTTAGAAAAACAACAGTTTGCTGACTTCTTCCTATTTTTCTACGCAGGTAAGAAATATGTGCCCCGGGCGCTGCTGGTGGACCTGGAGCCCGGGACGATGGACAGCATCCGATCCAGCAAATTGGGAGCTCTCTTTCACCCGGACAGCTTCATCTACGGTAGGTGTTCCTGCAGCGGTGTCCACCCCACGCCCCGGGGGGCCGAGGTGAGGGTGCGTCCTAGTGGTGCCCTGCCTCCCGCCCCCACCGGGACAGCCCGCTAACCGGCGTCCGTCCGCGCAGGTAACTCGGGGGCCGGCAACAACTGGGCCAAGGGCCACTACACGGAGGGCGCCGAGCTGGCCGAGAGCGTGCTGGAGGCCGTGCGCAGCGCCAGCGAGGCCTGCGACTGCCTGCAGGGCTTCCAGCTGGTGCACTCGCTGGGCGGCGGCACGGGCGCGGGCATGGGCACGCTGCTGCTGAGCCGCATCCGCGACGACTTCCCCGACCGCATCCTGAACGCCTTCAGCGTCCTGCCCTCGCCCAAGGTGTCCGACACGGTGGTGGAGCCCTACAACGCCGTGCTGTCCCTGCAGCAGCTGGCGCAGCACGCCGACGCCTGCTTCTGCATCGACAACGAGGCGCTCTACGACATCTGCCTGCGCACGCTCAAGCTGGCCGCGCCCAGCTACGGCGACCTCAACCACCTGGTGTCCCTGACCGTGAGCGGCGTCACCACGTCCCTGCGCTTCCCGGGCCAGCTGAACGCCGACCTGCGCAAGCTGGCCGTGAACATGGTGCCCTTCCCGCGCCTGCACTTCTTCACGCCCGGCTTCGCGCCGCTCACCAGCCGCGGCGGCCAGCAGTACCGCGCGCTCACCGTGGCCGAGCTCACGCAGCAGGTGTTCGACGCGCGCAACGCCATGGCCGCCTGCGACCCGCGCCGCGGCCGCTACCTGACCGTGGCCTGCATCTTCCGGGGCCGCATGTCCACCAAGGAGGTGGACGAGCAGATGCTCGGCGTGCAGACGCGGCACAGCAGCTGCTTCGTGGAGTGGATCCCCAACAACGTCAAGGTGGCCGTCTGCGACATCCCGCCCCCGGGGCTGAGCATGGCCGCCACCTTCATCGGCAACAGCACGGCCGTGCAGGGGCTCTTCGGCCGCGTGGCGGAGCACTTCTCGGCCATGTTCCGGAGGAGGGCGTTCGTGCACTGGTACACCAGCGAAGGCATGGACGTCGGCGAGTTTGCCGAGGCCGAGAGCAGCATCCACGATCTGGTGGCCGAGTACCAGCAACTGCAAGACGCCAGAGCGGTTCGGGAGGAGGACGGAGAGGTCGTGGGCGAGGCAGAAGTGGAACCGGAAGATGGGCCGCACGAACCTCGCGGGGCCGCGTGAGCTCGGCCGCAGCCCCCCTCCCGCCGCCCTGCCGTCCCGCCCGCCCGCTGCCCACGGGCCGCGCCGCAGCCGCCCGGTGTCCGCACGCACGCACAGCCGCGGGGACGGGGGCCCGGGCGGGAGTGGGGGCGCTGGGGCCTTCCGCGGGCATTCACTAGCCTTCAAGACTCTGCTACTCACTGCGCACTCTATGACCCGGTCTTCAGTGGCAAAGTGAAGTTATCGTGAGGCCCACCGCCTTTGTTGAGAAATGTCGATCGGGCAGTTGCTGCAGGCCCAGCGCTGGGCCAGGCCTCCAGACTACCCTCGAGGCCACCCGCGTGCATGGCTACCGCGGCGCGTCCACTCTCCACCCTTTCGTGGCACCGATGAGCACGCTGGAACCCTTGCTTGGCACCCTCGCTAAGAGTCATACCCCAGCTTCTGTCATGTGCGCTGCCCAGCATCCTACCTCCTGGTGCTCGCTGGCTTCCCGAAAAGCCAGGTGACTAACTGGTACTTGGGGAGCTTGCAGCCGAGGCAAGTGTGAGTCAGCATCCACTAGTGAATCGCGTAGACCTTGTGTGCACGTCCGCGTACTAACTGGAAAGGGAAAAAAGGGAGGACAGAAAACAAAGTGGCAGTGCTTTTCACCAAAATACCTGGCAAAAAAAACCCCTCAAACGACAGGCAAAAGTCACCAACCCCAATCCTCTGATCCTTATTTCTGAATAGCTACCTTCTAACATAGATGTTTAGATACTCTAAATTTTTTAGGGGTGTTGGTTCTGGGAATTCATTAATCACGATCTTCGGTTTTCCTGGTAAAGGCTATTTCAAAATGCCCTTTTCACTTTCATTCAGTAAACACCTTCTGAAAGCACTCGGTAGCCTCTGCTCTTTCAGAAAGGGCACCCGGTGCGCAGGGGCGCTGGGCAACCATTCAAATGCAGGAATTCGGCAGCGGCACCACCGCAGTGTCCTTCTTCCTCGTGGAGGACGTCGTCTCATTAGGGAACTTTTACAGTTCAAATTAATTTGCAGAAGTTGCCATAAATGTTTGCATGATGACACAGCTTTGACCATTACCTGAGTTTAATCTGCTCACATTACAAGAGGACCAAATACACAGGAGTGTAATCAAATCATCCATAACTTTTTAATTACAGTTTACCTATTTCTGACACATTGCATGGCCATCCCTTCCAGGGCCGTAAGGGTCTTAATGGCCTTCTAGAATTACCACTGAGCTCTTCTATTTGATCCATGGGTAGCCGGCAATGGGAAGAGGCTCCGACCCTCCCTGCAGGAAATATTTACTTGCAGGCAACTAGGTTCTCAGATCTGCGTTTGTCATCTGCAGTAAGGTAGCAGGTGGATGGACGACACTGCCTGCTCATTCTGGGAAACGTCACTCCTTCACGTGCACGTCGTGAGAAGTAACGAAAATACGTGCGCAGAGAAAACGAGGTCCTGCTGTTGGCATCGCGACAAGCCTTCTATTTACAACACTTAAGAAAAGTTTTAAACACTTCCTACTTGTGGCTCAAGCCATTAAAAACAAAAGCAGATTTATTAAGAAAATGTACCTATATACTCTCATTTGAAGTTCATAACTTCTCAGAAGCTAAAAAGACTTATGACCTTTGATGTTATAAGAATTTATACGCGCTGCTTCTAGCACTTTCCTTCTCAAATCTAAAAAGGCAATCCAATAGATACAAGGAAGGCTACAGTTCTAAATTAAAAAAAAAACCTGCTGATTTATATTACTGTCAAGATTTTTGTTTGCTCAATAGCAATCATTAAAGTACAAGGAAATTCAATTTTAAATGGCTAAATTGCTTTATTTCAGACTAAATAAATTCCTTTTCTTGGAGCCTACCCGCCCAGACTGATTAATTTGAGTAGTTAAAAATATTTCAAAATGTATCTCACCATCCTACTCTTTTGTATGGTAGAAATAAACACAAACACACACACACACGAACAAAAAACCCACTAGAAACCAAAAGAAATCCCCTCAGATTTTGAGCCTATTCCTTTAGCGGTATGGTTGCCATGGCAACATTGGTCTCAGAGATAGAGACATGGGATCAGAGTCTCAGAGCTTGTCCGTTCCTTCCCTTCACACAAGAAGCCCGCAGGAGCAGAGATTAACGACTCCCTCAAAAACCACTCAACTAGTTAGTGAAATGCCCACAGCCAGGTCTGATCAGGGTCCTCTAGTCATCCAGACACAGTAGTCCTGCCAGGGGCCCAGCAGGCCTGGTACTGGAAGTTTACTTATCCCAGTATCCATTCAGGATTTTTAATCACAGAGAAAGAGGCTCAAAGAATCTTTGCTGGACAGTAAACTTGTCTTTTATTCAGTTGCTTTATCCCTTTCCCTATCACCAGCCCTGGCCCGAAGTCTCACCTTTTTTTTCTTTTTAAGATTTTATTTATTTATCTGACAGAGAGGGACACAACGAGAGAGGGAACACAGCAGGGGGAGTGGGAGAGGGAGGCTTCCTGCGGAGCAGGGAGCCCGATATGGGGCTCGACCCCAGGACCCTGGGATCGTGACCTGAGCCAAAGGCAGACGCTTAACGACTGAGCCACCCAGGCGCCCCCCGAAGTCTCACCTTAATTAACCTATCTCCCACGCTGATGACTTCTCTCTAGTTACCCGGCTGCAAAGAATTCAGCCCTTTGCCCATCAGCTTTGTTCGTCTGTGAAAAAGGCCTGACAGCCTCGAGATTCATTGATTCCTATCCCTGTAATGAAAGATGCTTCCCAGTACCTTGACCTTGGGGACTGAGGTGCTGACAGCTGAGGTGCCCTGACTTTAGAACAGCAGACCGGCCCAGGCAAAGAGCTCCCGGGGCCCTCAAGTGGTTACTGCCCAGTGGCCGGGCTCTCACTCCATCCAGGAGCTCCTCCTTGCCTGTCCTGGGCCAAGAATTAAATAAAACCTACAGGTCAAGTGCCCGGGGGCAGGAAATCGCCTGCAGAAGGCCGAGAACAAAGGCATTCTCTTGGGCGCCTCCTGAGCACTGCTCAGTGGCTCCCAGAACTTATTGTTAGCTTAAGTACCATGGGGAGAACTGGTCCTGGCACAGAAACCGAACTGTTTCAAAATTTCCTGTTCAAATTTATTTCTCCATTCTCCAAAACAGTTCAAATCAAGCAGTTAACTTTGCAGTGGGTGTTTTACTCAGCTGAGTGCTTCTAAGTTTGAAAGGAAGATAAAAACAAAACACTTGCAACAAGTCTTCACGCCTGAGCATTTAATGAAGAAGCGAGACACCATGCAAACACCGTGGAGCAGTTGCCAACCTCACGCCCACACCCGCCCCGCCCCCCAGCCCAGACCTGAAGGCAAGAGGTCTTTTTAAAGACTGGGCTGCAGCTCAGCCATCAACTCCATGAGCAAGGTACTGAACGGCTTGGACCCATCTCCCATGGGGAGTGCTCCCAGGACAGATTCATTTACAAAACAATGTCAAGCACATTTCTTGCTGAAATCCCGATATTAGCTCTTCTCCACAGGTTTTAAGTGTACAATAAAAAATGAAGACCGCAATCTAGTATTTTTTTTTCTTCTTATCTATGCTTTTAGTAATTTTTGTCATTTAGGCAAAAACCCGGCTGTGCCGGAGAACCAGGCCAGCGGGTAATAAGCCATCCGCCACGTGGCCGTGACTTCTGCAATTCAAAGATAAGGGACAGTGAGAGCCTCAACAAGAGGCTAATTTTGTCAATTGATATGAAAAAGAGAACTTTCTATCCTGAGACATTTAAAACCTCTTTTCTGTTTCCCTCTGCTCACTAGATATTAAACCTGTTTCCCCCTACCTTAAGAAACTGCAGTTCCTAAGGTCCTAATCCTCAAGGTGGGGATAGCTCCTATGAAGAAAAAGTCCAAAGGAAAACAAGAACCAACAGCAAGAGTGAACCATACTTCAATTTATTGGCATTGTCAATCTAGAACAAGACAGGGATTTTTTTCCATGCAGGGAGATCGTTTTCAATCTGCCATAACATGTACCCACACATCTTCACCTCGGAAAATGTAGCATTTCAAGCTTTAGTCAGGGTCTAGGAGGAAAGAAGAAAATGCAACAGTTGCTAGTCCTCTGTGTTTTCTTAAAAATCCAACATGAACATGGGCAATGACTTCCTTGTCACAAACTGTGTAATGTAACTTTGGTGTCACTTCACAGTGCTGATGCTGACCCTTGGCTCTTGGCTGTAAAAACTGCTGGTTCACGTGCATGGCCTTAGCCGAACAGGAACTTCCCTCCTAAGTAGAACCACGTACTCTCTGGGCTATAAAGAAACTACTCTGCCTTTAAAAAGACACTAAAAGCCCCCTGTGCTCAAGGGCTGGGAGCATCCCCTGCAGGACATACAGAGAGCAGGTCTGTTTTGTTTACCGGAGCTGGGCACTACTTCCTGACCCCAAGGACATCACAAGGTCAAGGGAGTTCGATGTGGAGTTTGGCTTGGCTCTGCTGCAGAGGCTCAGTGATTTTCTCAGCAAGCTCATTGTTAAAACCACCCAACACAAAAGCAGGTCTCGTTACTTAGAATTAGGAGATGAGATGGAGAGCCCCTAGAAAAAGGGCCACATTCAAAACACTGCATCTCCAGACTCAGTAAGATATTTACTAATTCAAAATGGAAATGAAAAGTGCTTAGGGGAGACAGCTCCAATAAGTAAAATTGCTCATAACCACAAGCTGCCAAAGGATTCATATTGATCACATTTCCTTGCCACTGCAGGTCTGACGCCTTTTTTTTTTTAAAGCAAAACAAGAATATTAAATCTGAAAAACGTCTCTCTGGTATTTGCCTTGCTTATCTTTGAAATAACAATGTCAAGAAAGAGGCTTAGAGATCAAATCACTTTAGTAGTTGGGAGCGAAGAGTCAGAACTTATCAACTGTACAAAACTGTCTTTTATTGCACAGGATGTAACTCTACATGGCTCACATCTCCGTAGAAGTAAAATGAACCAAGCCCTCTGAAAGAATCATAAATTTAGCAAAGGAACAGCTGTCACTGCAGGGTCCTCGCAGATGTTCCTGCTTGATAAAATCGCAGGACCCTTGCCTGTGCTGGTAGCCCTCATGGTCAGGAAGCAGTCGTTTGTGAGAACATTAGCAGATGTGGGGGAAATGAAGACGCAAAGAACTGCAATTTGTCATGCCCCTGCACTGTTACGTAACTCCGACAGCAATTACAAAAAGTGGGGAGTTTATCCTCCAAATTATTTGATGTTGTGCAGACAAATGAAACAGGTTTAATTAAAATAAGATGGCTCTCTACCTAAGCTCTGCTAAATGAGCTGAAAATCAATGGGCCAATTACTTCTGCTTGTCAGGGCCTGAAACGAGATTCTTTTACACTGCCACAGGACTCCTATCACCTGTATGCTTTCAATTATTACCCACTAACATCTGAATGTACTGACTGACCAAAAAAATGGACAGAATTCAAAACTAAAATTACTTTGTTTTGAAAGCGTTCTAAGAACTTCAGATGCAAGCCTTCTAACAAATCAGTAACTTACAGATTACTCCTTTTTCACTTTCACAATTTTTACGGTGCTGCTGGAAGTCTTCTCAGCATTTGCTTTGAACTCTGCCTTCAGTGCATCTCTCACTGCTTTTGCACAGATCTGGGAGTATCGGATATAGCTGGGAGGAAATGAAAGATGATATAAAGTTAATTATCAATGATCCAGCCAGACTGGTCGTTGTTTTTTTTTTTCCCCTTCCCATATTTTAAATTTTGGTTTGATTTGTACATTATAGTGGAACGGGATTTAAAAATGACTAGTGACAGAAGCAATCTACACAGAGAAAAAGACCAGAAGGAAATGTACCAAAGTCTTAGCTGGTATTAGGATGGGTAATCTTTGGTTTTTCTTCTTTATACCATCTTCTCTCTTTAATACATGCTAATTTAAAATAAAAGATTCAGTGATTTTTAAAAATCCCACAGCACAAGAAATAGACCAAAATGTTATGAGAGGCTGTAAGTGATGTTTCCCATTTCTCTACTTAAAATTTTTTCTTATACTATTCTTACAAGGTAAAATACATACAATTAAAAGAGAAAAAACTATTTTGAATTCAACAATTCTTCCTGATTATTTAAAGGTTTCCTTGAGAATATTGGATTTTGTTTCCCAAGTCTGCCACTGAAGATGCTTCCCAATCAAGGTTTCTAAATGAAACCAAAAAGTCCTTACAGAACATCCTTAATTCTAACAAAATATCTAACAGCCTGCTTCCTGTTTGGTAGATGGACTCCCATCAACATCTTATTTTCCAAAAAATGTCAGCTCACTTTCTACACTTTTTGAAAACAGGAAGGGGGGGGAGTGCTGCTGTCTATTTTCTCATGTTTCAGATTTGTGTTTTTGGGCCAGAGGCAGGCGTTCCAATGCCCCCTCGGGTGCTGACTAACTGGGTTGACCTTCAAGGCTGCTCAAGCTTTTCCGCCACTTTATCCACCTGTGGAGACAAGAGAGTAAAACAGGAGGATAACGGTGCCTGCCCCGCTGACGGTGGGGAGGAGTGACAAAGCAGAGGCCGCCACACCTACCGCAGAACAGGTGCTCAGGAAATGGTTCCTGGTCCGGGGACCGCCGACCTCCCCACTGGACAAAACTGCCTGACCTCACAAGGCAGGACGCTCGGGCTGCTCAGCTGTCCCAGGCAGGTGCACCCCCCCGCCCCCCGCCCGAGGAGGAGCGAGACCAGTCAAGTCACAGGGATGCCCCCCGCGCGAAGCCGCCAGGTGCGAGGGGTGCGGGGCGGCGCCCCCGGCGCCCCCGTCCCTGGCGGTCGTGTCTTCCGACGGGTTCCACTCGTGAGCTTCCCGAGCCGCCCCCACCCGCCCTCTGTGCGTGAACCGAGGGCCTCCTCCCCTTCTACCGGGAAGGCAGCCCGACAGCGACGGGAGTCGGGGTGCAATAAAAACCCGTCTGTGCTGGACACGAAGGCCCGGGGTGCGGGCCGGGGTCACACACGCAGGGCCCAGGCCCGGGGCTCCGGCGCCCCGCTGGGGACGGAGGGGGACGAGGACCTGGCGCAGCGCGCGGCGGGGGCCCGGCCACACTCCGCAGGGGGGGCCCGCCGCAGGCGCTGGGCCCGCCGCCCACGCGGCGCGCTCTCGAGGCGCCCCCGCCCCCCGGGCGTGCGCCGCCATCTTGGGGCCGCGCTCCCCCAGCCCCGACGCCGGGCCGCGCCGCTGGCTCCCCGCACCCCCGAGGCGCGGGTCTACCTGAGTCCAGCCTGTCGCCAGTATGCCACCATGATGTCGCGAGAGCGGACGCGTCGAGTCGAATCGCGAGGACGCCTCAATGTCGGCTCGGCGCACGGCCCAGCGGCAGGAAGGTCAGGCCTGGGAACCGGAAGAGGCGGGACTCCGGGCCTGCCAATCTCGCCGCCTCTTGCCCCGCCCACCCTCCCGAGCAGCCCCTGCTGCCGCCACGCCGGGAGCCAATGGGGGCGGGCGGCCGGGGCCTCGGGTGCCAATCCCCGGGCGGGCCGGCTGGCCGCGCCCACCGATTGGCTCCTCGGGCGCCCCGAGCGCGTGCCCCGCGGGCTTCCGTAGTACCCCGGCGGGGCGGCGGGGGCGAGAGGGCAGCTGGGGGCCGCGCGGGGCGGGGGAGCCCACCCGCGGCCCGGGGCACAGCGGAGCCCCGGCGTCGGCGCGGAGCACTTCGCCCCCTCCCCCGGGGGGCAGTGGGCAAAAGCGGACCCGGCCCAGACAGCGCGCGGGCAGGGGCGGGGGGCGGGGGGCGGGGGGCGCGGGCCCGGGGCGCAGGGGCGCCTGTGCACACGGAGCCGTGACTGAACAGAAACTGAGCAGCAAGCACGTCGCTACAAGAAGTTTTCAGAAACTAGAAACCTAACTTCCATCTTTAATGCTAGATGGGGTAAGCCGCCCCCCAGTCCGAGGGGGCCCTGTGAACACTGTCCCAGTTCAGTCCCCCCAAATGCATCTACTTGCCGCCCACGGAGATTTCAGTAGGTAAAAGCCACAAACTACCAGCTACTTCACTACACTGGAAAATGAAAATTTCTAGAATTTTATCATTAGGTTAGAATAAAAAAAAAACAGGATAAAAATTTGTTTAGAAATCTTTTTATCATTAGAGCATTACACCTTTTTCAGAACAGGTATAATTTACAGAAATTATACAAGGCAACTTTTTATCAAAGATCAGTATTTCCTACGTTTTAACTGAAATGTTATTTCATTTGTAAGAACCATCTCCGGTTACAAAAAAATAGTCAAAAACCTTACTGGATTTAAGTTGCTTTTACAAATGTCCTAAGAAGTCTTAAGCTAAACAACATTTTAAGTAGAAAAACACTAATTTTTAAATAGTCTGCTATACTATTTCTGTGGTTTATGTACATATACTAACTGGTTTCTTTTACAGGAAACCTGATGAGTCTATTACATTAGCACTGTTAAGATAAAGGCAAGAGCTAATCACCTTTTAACAAAAATACTCTGTATGCAACAACTGCAAGTATCAAAGATGGTATTTACTGGTCATTACCTGCCTGCTACAAAATATGGAATACATTTACTGGATTGTTTTTCAGATTGCAGCTGCCCCTCAGCATCCAAAACAATTGATTTCCCACAAATAAAAGCTGCAAAGCAATTCACATAGTGGTTGGTTTAGGTCAATGCTGCTTTTCTCATTATTATTCTTTTTTTTCTTCCCCACCGCCCCCACCCCCCGCAGTTGCACCGTATTATTAAAAACACTAAGTACCTGGGATTTGTGCTTCAGAAAGACATCGTTTGAGTAATTTCAAATGACGTACAGCTCTTCATGTAAAAAAGATGTTTTGTGGTCACAATTACTTCAAAAAGTAATTATATTCAAATAACCTGACATATCATGCTTTAGCAATTACAGAGCCATGATTTTGACACATGGCAATTTATAAGTTAGGCAAATGTGAAATGCTAAAAGATGTGAACAGCTGTTCTTCTGTTTAAGTTTAGAGTGCTGCAAAATTCCAGTAATGACACTATTTTTTCAGTGAACATCACCAGCCCACGGTATAGCATACTAAGTCATAAAGTACAAATCCAAGGAAGGTAATACCTTTCCTAAGTTACAAAACTTTGGCAAATTAATACAGTACTCTTTAATACGTTAAAATCCTTTTTTTGTTTGTTGGAGTTATTATTTTAGTGATAATTTTCATTCCAAAAATGTCATTTAAGTACCACAACAAAACACTGGTTTTTAACAGTGGTTTATAGCAGAACAAGTTATTTTATACAAATTGTCTTTTCAAACTATAATTTCTCCTTTTAAAGAGCATTCCCTCGTGCAAGTTCTTGCAGTTTACCATAGCAGGGTAATTCTATGTATTTAGGTGGCTCTGCTTTGTTCTGGGGTTGGTCCAAAGCCAGGTAGAGTTCCAATGCATGAAAAGCTTTACAATTCCACCTTAAAGGAGATTTTAATATGCCAATATGATTTTTCAAGTACTTTTCAAAAATTGTTAAATTTTCACATAAATACTGGAATCCTCAAAATCAGATGGTCATTTCAAACAATACTACTCTCAGATGATCCCTTTTATTTAGAAACCCTGCACCCTCTTTGTTTTGATCATAAGTCCTATAGCTTTTCTTCAGCTTATTAAAAAAAAAAAAAACTCTACCTAAAATATAGTTTTATTTTTTTAAATAACAAATAAATATATTGCCAGTTTGCAGAGACCTGGGGGTGTGGATGTTGGGTACTGACTTTCATCCTCATTTCTCTACAAATGCGGCCGCCGCCATCGGTGTCCTTATGCTCCCTCTTGCCGAAGCCGCCAATTCTTCAATCTCAGCATTTAATTTATGTATTACCCATTCCATTGCTTCTCGGCCCTTAAAAAAATCCAACACATCTACTGTTACCAAGTGAGAGCAAAGGCACGTATCAAATAAATGGCACATCAGGAAGTAACAAGGGGCTTCTACAAGTATAACTAAACCTCACTAGAATGGATTGTTTTTGTCCTTATTTTTCTTTAATACTATTTACCAAATATCAAATGCCTTGGCCAACTGGAAGTTGATCTATAAACTCATTTTTCTTTTGCATGCAAAAGATGTTATCAAAAAATCTCAATTCAGTGATTGTGATCATTTCCTTATTTCTGATTAGAGTGGTCCCTTCTTGGGGGATCAAAAGGTCAAACCCAGTTTTTTTTTTTTTTTGGTCCGTTATTTTAAACCAAAATCCTGTATGAGGCCCTGGAAGATCTGGTCCCCAACTTCCTCTTCAACCGTTCTCTCCTGGTGCCTAATGCAGATCCTTGAGGAAATGAGAAGCATTTCCTGCTTCCTCTCTCAGGGCCTTTGCACATACAGCCCCTCTGCTGGAGAGGCTTCCTGGCATACCCCTAACAACCAACGCGCCCCTCATTCAGCACGCAACAGAACACTCATGAAATACTTTTATCTCTGTGTGCTTTTCCTTTCCCAATGACGTGATTAATGTTGCCTTTCTCTTAGTTCCACGAGGGCAGGGACCACGCTTGTTTTGTTCCCTACTGTATTCCTAGTCTAGCCTAGCACTTCCTCTGGTACAGAGAAGTCATCTATAAGATCTTTGGACTGCTGAATAATTATATTAAATGTGTTATAATAAAGTGCATTAAGTATCTCTTTCTCTAAACTTAAATTGTTTTAAATCATGCATTCTCCAAGGGGCAAAAATTAGTTGGGGGTGGGGAGAGGTGGAAATATCTCACTCTTTTTATGTACATAGCACATTTATTCTTTCATCCATCTATCCATGGTGTTAAATACTTTCATGTGGTGGTGGCTGTTAGAGAAAAAGGATGTCTAAAACAAACCTGGGGGTTACGGGGCAGAGGGGATAATGAAGGTTGAGAATTGGTGTTTTAAACAATGGCACACAGTGACATTATCACCAAACACTTCCCACATGCTGGGCCCTGGGCACACGCTTTCCATATATTATCTCATTTACTCTTCATGCCCAACTGGTAAGATGGCTAACTGATCTCTACTTCACAGATGGGAAACTGAGGCACAGAAAGGTTAACTTAATTGTCCAAGGTTGAAAGGCTGGTAAGAGTTATGGCTTGCACTTAAATCCCGGGGGTGCTAGACCCCAGAGCCTGTGCAAGAAACTGCCTATATGGATTCTCACTGCACTGCGGTTGAGAGTCAGTTTGCCAGGACAAACACACGTTCAGTACTAAGCTCTTTCAAGACAGGAAACCCAGGAATAACGATTAGGGAGCAGCCTGACTTACTTTATTAGCATTTGAAGATATCGTACTGGCCATTAGTCCTTCAAGGTAACTGCTGAGACTGACTCCTTTCACAGTGATTATGGCTTCTTGAGTCAGAACAGTTCTGGAACAGAACACATTCACACAGCTTCAGAATGACCTTTCATTTTTTAAAAGAAATATCTGATAAAAAAAAATTAACACACTCGGTACAAGAAGTTTGTCAAAACATTTTTTACTCACTTTTCTGGGTCCTGAGGATGTGGTTTGTATATAAGTCTCTCATCTACTGAAACCATATTTGTAAATGAAATCTACAGAATGAAAAAAAAAAAATCAAATCATTTTGGAAACCAAGATGAAAAACATTTACAAAATTAATTCACAAACCAAAATCTTGCTAGGTAAATATACAAATAACAAATAAAGCACTTCGGTATTACTGCAAAAACAGAACTTAAATTTCACTATTCACTGCTTCCTTTTTATTATAAAAATAATAAATACGACAAAAGCATTACAGTAGTAATATGCACATGATCCCAAATTCATGCTAATGGGTGCTGTCCCCTGGAAACAAGAAGTAGCCTCACTGCTCTAGTGAGGAGCAGGAAAGGACAATACAGCATATAATCACCTGTACATCAACTACAGAAGAGACAAAAATTATTAGTTTAAAATCAAAACAAAAGGGAGCCCACACTTACATTAGTAGATTTAAGTTCCATTGTCTTCTCTACAGGATCAACTACAGAATGTTCCTGCACGTATGTTTTAGTTCTTGCAGCACCAATAAGCTAAATAAAACATTTACAATTAGTAATCAGAGGAAGAGGGATTTCTTAACAAGTGTATCAATATTTTATTTGAAGGTAAAAATGTGTTAATATCTTGAACCAAAAAATCTGTTTCGTAAAAAACAGGAGGAATCAGACAAGGGTCAGAAAGGAGGCCCGTTGGAGGGTAACGGGAATTCACACACCATGAATGAGATGAGACTGCCAGATACAAAAACCCTTCCCAGAGGCAATTAGCGACCAGCCCAGGGAGAACGCCTGCAGTATAAAGCAGACACGGAAACCGCCAAGGTGTGACAACGGAGCACTGAGCCTGAAATATGGAAATCAGAATATTTGGGTAAACATGG